CGAGCAGCCAGAATCATGCTACTGCGACCTTTGTGCGCTGGTCCACCCCACCGAAGCGACTGGTCTACCTAAACTCGTCGTGAAATGTGCCCCTATGAGATCTTATCACAACCGTTGTCCCCTTTCAAGAAGAATTTGATGAAACTCGAGAAGAATCTTGTCGAATTTGATTATGTGCGCAAAAAAATCTAAAACGTACGTATACGAGATGAGTTCTTTAGTCGTGATTTGGCTCTCACGGGGAAAATGTTCGCGCTGCTTCTCGTGACTCTCTTCCGGAAGGCTAGATCTGGTGTTAGAGACTTTTGTTTTCCACGTCTCCCAGTTGGGTCCGGCGGCATTTCTCCAGACTTCCTCTCTTTGGACTCAGAACTCTGCGATTTGTATCTCCGACGGATCACTGAGTCTTCTAGTGAGCCGGATGGCTTGTGTGGTTGAGTAACTCGGGACAGCTCACCGCTTTCCTGAATAACACACACGCCTTTTGACTCGTCCCTTCACTTAATTATTCATATTTCACAATCAGAGTCAAATAAATGAATATTCAAAGCGATAGCATACCTCAGCCGCATTACCTCGACCAGGACGGGACTTATTGCAACCGATTACGTGTAGGAGTAAAATTAGTGGAAGTATTAACTGAAATATAGCTTTGAATAACGGGTCTTCGATATGAGAACTTCTCTCTATTTTGTCGCAGAAGAAGCTACAACCAAATTCCGAAGGAACCTAGTCCACAGCATCCTTCCCATGACTAAATCGCTATCCCTGTCGGGTTGCAGCGCTGTCAAGTCCGCCCATGAGGCGTGCGCCGAATTTGGGTATGAGGGACAGAATTTTGTTACACAGTCTCAGGACAGCATAAATACCAGGTAAATAGATACTTCTAACTTCAGCCGAACTTTTGGGAGGTGATGGAGAAACACCTGCGTGGTTGAGAGAGTTCTCAAAATGGGTAGTGCTAAGAAAACGATTCATAGTTCGGGCCAAGGGCAGCTCCGACACAATCCAACAACTGAAAATGCAGTGGGTAGGAGCTACATTATACGAAGTTAT